GTTCTTACCTTAGCGCTTACGCTCTGTCAACTCTTTCAAAGACTCCGTGAGCATAACCACATGGATGAGGAGCTCCACCTCCTGGAAGCTGTCCCTTTGAGTCACATGAAGTGCGTTCAGCCAGAACTTCCCATCTTGCTTCAGTCATTCATCATGAAGTCTTGTCTTTCCTCAAGACTTAGTTTATATTTTGAGTGTGGGGTTACTAAGGACTTTATCCTGTGGAGGTACTCACAGGCTGCTAAATAGCGTAGGTTTGGGTTATTCCCTTCATATCCATTGTTAGTCACCCACTACTTTTAAATCCATTGATGAATCTTGTGTGAATCGGTTTATTACTATCATGGTTGCCAAGGGGCTTTTGTGATTGTCATTCCATCTGTATTTACTAGCTGGCATTCTGTAAGAAAGCTTTTCCATATTTATTATTAGTATAAATGCATAGATTTTTATTTTATTCAGTGGGTTATAATCTGTTCCTGTCACTATTTTGATCTCAGATTGTCCAGATTTGTCCAGCGGGCGCTCTTTGGAGCTGCCCCTGTTCTTTCGATGCATCCTGTTGGTTTTGAATGCTTCCTTACTTTCCAGCACCACAGGATGCTCAGACGCATCTCACGCCTTCCCTGCTCCAGCCCTAGAATCAGCCGTTTCTCTAAGGGCCCTTCAGTAGCCAAGATCGGGGTGTAGAGGTGCTCGCTGCATCTGGGGTGCATCCCTGTTTAAGAAGAACCCTCCCCAAATGATTCTTGTTTGCATCAAGTTGAGAACCGTTCTTAGTCTACATCATGCCATTTAACCCTCACAGCTACCCGTGTATCTGTGAGGGGGTACGCTTGTCTTTACCTGGCACATTGGAAACTGCAGCCCTGGACTGGTTCAGGAACCTGCTCAACAGCCACAGCTGGTAAGAGACCGAAGCAGGAACCACTGTGCTGCTCCCTCCCACCTCATGTTGTTGTTGTTGTTGTTGTGTGCCTTAGGGTCGGACCTGACTCATAGCGAGTCCTCCTTGGGTTTCCAAGGCAGTATCACTAGATTGCCCAACCTTCCTTC